AATATTAAAGCGAATAGGATGCATATGTGTGTAGGCGTTAAACAATGCTCAGTCGTACAAGCTCATACAAACCAGATAATAAAAAATACTAATGGTACGTATGAGTTGTTGCTATACAAATGGCTTGGTTAAATAAATTAATCGAAAGGGCTTAAGCAAATTAAGTGTAAGCGGATGCAAATAAATGTGGAGGCACTACAATAGTAATTTGTTTACTCAAGATGCTACCAATTATTTTAGCCTAACAGGACATTTGTTTAATATACGTCTTATCTAAGCTCGTTCGATCTGCAAGAAAAAGACACTTAGTCATGTTTACGACTCCTTACCAACCATCACTTCTAGTGATAGCTGAGGCATGGACCATAAGTAATATTCCTGATCTAAGTATATCACTTGGAAACCATGATCTTTTTTAAGTGATAGGTTACAGGGACGATGTAAAGGATGCATCATATATGCTCACTTTGGCTTAAACTCACTTTCATGTGATATTCCGGGACTTGACAAAATACAGGCTCCTATGTGGATCGTTGTGAAGCCTTCAAATCCAGTTTTGTTACTGTTCAGTGGTGTTTACCGTCAGCCAAAGGCAACTGTATGGGATCTAAAAGGATTGTCAATATTATTCACGTTTGCTTCATCCCATCCACTTACAAGAAAGGCTGCTTGTGCGTACTTCAACATGCCTGAAAACTCTTGATTACCAATCAAGGGACCAAATAGGTTTGAAACATTTACTGAATTCTTAAAGCACGAAGACTGGGCTCAGTGTGTTAAGGGCCCGACCATACATCACAAAATATCGGATTCACCTTTCGACAGCAACCTTATTCCTAACACCGTAAATGTCGGAAAAACGTTCCCAGATGGCGCTAACAATATCGTCGTATGCGATCGTGTTATAAAAGCCACAAATATAAAGAGTAAAACCACTACAGTTCGTAAAGGCTATCGTAAGATTGATTGCATTAGCTTCCAAAACTGCCTCAGAAGCATTGAATGGACTAACGTATTTATTGTTAACAAGATCGACGAACAAACAAACATATTTTATCACAACACCAGCAATGTCTACAATTAAATCGCACGCTTAGGACTGTGGAAATCCATAAATACCAAGAATTTATACATGCCAGCTCATATACGAAAACATGCTACAGACTATCTATCCTTCGGGACTTGACTTCCCTAGTTACGATGACAGAAATATTAGTCGAGGCAGAGGAAATACGTATGAAAAAAGCATTCGCTCAGGAAAAACGCGCCGTAGAGCTAGATAATAACTCTTCTACACTTATTGGAGTCCTACAAATTAATTTATTAAGGACAATCAAGTGCACAAAGTCCCTAAACGTAACACAGAGCTGTTCGACTAACACTTCTGTGCTTCATTAACAAACGAAAACCCACTTATTTATAAGGCCCAATACAAAAGGCTTATCCTCAAACTAAATTAATCGGAAATCGGTAACCCACTATATTTCATTCCTAAATAGGATTCAATAAATGGTAAAATTCGTAGATTGTCTTTTATCATCAATACCAATAACCAACGGAGTTGTTCAGGGAGGTGTATATGGTCCCCTCTTATTTCTTTCGTACATAAAAGACATATTTGAAACTATGAAATTCTGAAGATCATACTCAAATGAGGATGATCTCAAATTAGTATACAGCTATTAGCCTGTAGATCAGGACAGAAATATAGCTAGGATCCAGAGTGACCTTGATAACCTGTCTACCGCCGGCGAAACTAACTGTCAACCACAACAAATGTGGCATCATGCACTACAGTAAGCATCACCATGAAATACCAATCTAATAACAGAAATGTAGGGTTCAGACGCTCGTAACAGCTCACAGTCTGGGTATCCATTATGTCGAAAGCCTAAAATTTGACGAACATACCTCTTCTGTCATCTCCAAATCTAGGGTGGCTAATGGGGTTTATGAACTAGAAGTTCTTGGCAAATGAGGCTAAGCTTACACTCTTCAAAGTGTGTATAAGGCCCTAATTTCAATGCCGCTTACTTATCTTTTAAAACATGAATATCATAGACAATATACGAGTAGAAAATATCCAGGATGAACCATAATCTCGATTACACAGAAAGATGCAAACATCTTTCCATAGAACTTCTATGGCGCCGCCTGTTGAAAAATAACCTAATACTGCCCTATAAAATAACATATGGCCTCTTGTTTGTAACATTCCACCAAATTACGAACCATGACCCTGCTAGCAGACCCATAAACAACGCATGTACACTACTTACGGCAAAAAACAAAAATTCTTTGCATCGTAAATTCTTTGTAACACGATGCAATTTATTGTGGAACAGATTACCAATTTCTATCTGTATCTGTGACAAAATCATCAGTTTCAAGAAACTAGTAACGCTGCTGTTTCACTGTAAAAAGATTTAACAACTATTTCCTGAACTCACACCAAATCCCGAAGCACTCTTTTATGCTCCACTAAATATTCAGATTTAACTTAGATGCTAATAACAGACAATAAATATATCGCACCTCCATTACCACTCGAGAAAGCATCACAAAATGACAGACACATTCTACTGCGCCTACTGACATCAATAGGCCATGCCTTTATGCTCCTCCTCCGAACATTTGGAGTTTTGTCAAAATTCTTATCTATAACAGAGGTTTTATTTCTTATTCCTAGTAGACTGAAAAACGCTGCTCAAATGCTGTTGACTGCAAGGAACTCGAACTTCCTATATCAGTGTGAGTTCCTGCTTTTTCCTGTATTAACAGTTTATTACATTTTGATATCCCCAATTCATAAACATCACAACACCTTGCTCTTCTGCATATTTATGGCCTTACTCATGGATTTTCAACACTATATTTCTTAATCTTATTTCTTCAGCTTCCTGACATCCATACCTGCAGACTACCCAGTAACGGACCCAGAGTTGATATCTTACGAGTCCACAAGCAAGATTAATTTCGTTTTCTAAAGCTGAAAATGCTGATTTCTGCATAACTACGGTGGAAATACTGAACACTATTTTACCGAAAAACTTCGTCAATCAGTATTGATTATTACTGGCTGCACAAACATTTGATAAGCGATTGTATATGAAAATTACTTTGTAGTCCTTCAAGGTTGTCGTTTAAGGAAGGGTGAGGAAATATATGGTAATTTAATAGATTTCATTTATAACCATATGGAGTGGTTTGAAGTCTCGTGTGTGACCTGAAAAGATGTTGAAAACGAAAAGGTCTCATCATGTTGCTTATATCTGCATCGCAAACTTCACTGATCTTTTAAACCAAGTTCGTAAACATTCAGAGTACAAATTAAAACTGATGCCAGCTGATGGCCTGGCGAATAACCAACTTATTACTGACCATTAATCAAAAAACTAAGATTCTTTTGCCGAGGAAAGACACTAAAATGTGACAACACTTACCCTATAGTCTTGAAACTATACAGAAGCTCTCAGTTTAGCTGTATATGGCATTTACAAGAACTCAATGTAATCATATTAACCGCTAGCTGAATGGAAACAAACTACTTTCTCTCCAATCTTTAGAGAAGAAGATATGAAGGATCCAGATTTTTTCAGATCAGTCGGTTACTATCAATACTGCACAAGGTATTGGAAAGTTTGGAAAATCAGCGAATGATGGATTACGTGAATAAGAACAAAATCCTTCATGAAGTTCATCATGGGTTTCGGAAATGCAGGTCATGCGCAGCCAACTTTATCACAGTATGCGACACCTCGACAACCAGCTTTGACTGGAAAATATAGGTTCATATATTGTTTCTTGACTATGCAAAAGCCTTCGACACAAAACCGCAGGCATTTTTAATTGTGAAGATTGCGAAAATGGGCTTCACTCACTCCTATTTTGGCTCAGAAACTACATTGAGAATGGAAAGTTTCACACAAACGTCAATAGAGTGCACGTGAGCTAGCGCGTCTGGACATTTGGAGTTGCACAAGGGACAATCCTTGATCCACTCCACTCCCTGATATTCAGTTGTCGTCTGTTACAATAACGAATCTCAGCAGTACTGATCTACACAGACGAGGCAAATATCTGGAGGTCCATAAGAAGCAAAGAGTATCCAAATGAGCTTTATTTGGACCTTACAGCGATTCAGGAAACAGTCTCTGGAATCGAGTTCAGAGACGAGCAATTAATGGGTTATTGCGTTGAAGCGTTATGAAGATAGACCCCACACTAGTAATTATTCTCTCTGAGTTACAAAGGAATCAGACGTGATCTGATAATGCCTTAAACATATTAAGTACGACGAATCATAATATAGTAAGCATCTTACCGACGCATCACCACGCCTCTCGAGGTAACCCTCCAAAAATTGCACATCAGAGAACTGACACCTAGGTTCGTGTTCGCTTCTTCTCATTAAAAGTCTTTGCAACTTAGAATGCTGTCTCAGCCCCCTCAGTGGACAGCTTTGAGAAGAAACTTGATAAACACGTACTCACATACGGGTTATCATCTCGTATTCGGACCAGCTGTGCCTGATCTATGTCTTGATACTTGCCAGTAATTATCACCGTAAATTTTTTGGGTAACTAACTTAATTTATCCCGCTTATTATCACTGTTTCCTCTTCCTCGCTAATACTTCTGTCCTCAATCTTTACTACCAAGTGATTAACTTATTTATCCATTTACTTAGTTCTGAAATCTTTCTAGCACTAGAACTTTCTCCCTATTATCCTAAAAAATAAAACTTATTGACTTCCAGCCCGAAAACGTAATAGTCGCTGGTATCCAAAAATTCTACTGCTCTGAAACAAACCTGCTCCCTCAAGTCACGACACAGAAATTCACAAACCAGTAGAGTGGCTAGATCAACATTCTCTGAACACTAACTAATAAGTGGAAGCGAACTGAAAATACAAGAATCGATTGCAAAGGAAGCAACTTGTTTACACTAGTTCGTGGAAAATATATTGGATATTACATTGTGTTTGTTATATTAAGTCAAGAACATCCATAATTATAAGGCGTCATTTCAAAATACGCATTATCTGAGGAGGGACTCGTTGTGGCTGATACACGGAGAAGGCTAACTAACTGTTGCTGGCTCCCTGAAATGGCTACGAATTTAACTGCTACCGACTTAACAGTTCTTAGCGAGTACATTGATAAGACTCCAACTGCTGTCAATATTGTTGTCCCAATCATTTCAGTGTTACTATTTGCTGCCTCGATCATTATAACCTACTTCATTGATGATCCTGGTATTAAAACATTGAAAAACTATTTACCGGAAGTAATTTTCTTACAATGGTTGATGGTTTTCAGGACAATCTAAAACCGATATCTGACTCTGATAGAAACCATCTAAGATATTTGGCAGAACGTAAACTGTACGTTGATATAAAGGGTCATACATTTTCCGCATTCACACCATCACAAACAACAGCGGAGGTCGATACTCAAACTGCACAAGACCACTCGACTGCCGTAGACAGCGGACGCCGCCGAGCATGCTCTGAATCTCATACTCCCAATTTACATCAAAAAAACTCCGAAACACAAGTTAGTTATAATCATTTGATTAATTTTCAGATTATCTTGCAACACATTCTGATGCGTCCTGGACATCCTCACAGTAATGCTGACAGCTTGTTTTCTGGGAATCCTGGTCGTTCCAGGTCTGGCTTTAGCAATCCATTCTCTTCATTAAAAAAGTATGTGTACATTTTTCACTTCTGATTGTACGTAAAGGCCTAGATCCACGAGAACTGGGGTGCAGGAATGCTGAATCATACAGCAGTAGTTCAAAATTGAGTGTAGAATATAAGTTCGTCTCTTTGACTGTACATCTTCTTGGAAGTAAAGATTGAAATTCTAAAAATAAATATCTCGGTGTGCCTGTTACAGAAGTTCTGGTCTTAATTCCTAGTTTCATCGATAGTAAATGGTTTATTTCATTAACCAACTTAATAATCGTTCTGAATAGTTCTATATCATATTTTTTGGTTCTATTTTGTGTTCATAAATATATTTTAGATTTTGTATTTCTTTCTGTTTCTCATTACTCTCATATGACACAGTAACATTCCTAAAGTTGTTTTGTGTCCAGAAAGATCAGTGAGATTGTTTTGGTGTCTTGCTGTAGGTTCAAGTTATTTCTAGCATACACCTGTTAGTTCTCAATTTGAGATTTCTCTTACATATAACTCGAGAAAATCATTCTTTGAGCTTGTTTTTGAAGTTATTTTTACCTACGAAAGAAGTTCAGGGCGAAAATGCAATAGGAGTACAACGGGATGCTCCTCAAAAAGTCAAAGCTGATATGCGGGCCTAAAGATATTGCCCTGTTTTAGGAATGTAGCTAGCATAATCCTTACAAGTCAGTAATCTGTCCAAATGACTATCTTTTAGATTTGGCACTCCTAAAAACAGTCAGTCAGAGGCAACGTAGAACTTTGTACATAAGTACATCAGTTCATGTTGCCATACCACATCAGCACAGAGAAGTAATCGTCAATTCAAATCCAATAGTAGAAGAGGTAGAAAGTTACTAGAAGTAATCGGAGAGGTTAGGATTAGAAGATACTATTCAAGAACTACGATTCAGTGAGAAACGTTAGAGAGTCGAAACTAGAGTTGTTGAAGAATCCAGAAGATTAGCATTTGAGAGAACACAGAGAATAAATGCACCGGCGCCATTGCGGACGATTTTGAGCCATGTCATTCAAGGTCTCTAACCATCGATTATGATCATCTCGCTGACCCCAACCAGGTAGTCGACAATTACCTCCCAAAAACAATGTATTTTCGTAGTGATACTGTCGTTGTAGACAGTGATATTATTGAGACTAGTAAAACTAAATAAGAAGAAATGTAGATTTTTCTCAATCTATTACTAAGTTAATTTCAGAGCTTTCAGTGAAGTGCATTTGAGTATTGATTCTTAATCTTCATGAGTTTAGCTAGAGATAGGTAATCGTTCAGCTTTGAGTTTGGGATTGAATAGTCTGTTTAGTCGGACAAATGTACCTGAGATAACGACTATTTTGACTATCACAGGTGCTAATATGAGGCAGTATATTTGTTTTCATGGCTGAGTGCTGACACTTCAGCTGAGTATTGGCTCATTAACCCTGTTGGTGAGAATATATACTCAGGTTATGAACGTCTGTTTAGAGTGTCATTTATAAAATATATATTATATATGCACAATAAGATTAGATTCCTTTCTGTATATCTAGATGATATTCCGTGGAGTATGATATTCATAATACCGCAAAGACTAAATTGACTGGATTTACAAAATGAAACTCCACAAAATACAACTATGATAAAACTAAACAGGATAGATCATTCATATAAATTCTTGAAAAAGTTATTAAGCAATATTTGGTTCTATTTAGTTCAGTTCAATCTAAGATGAACAAATATCACAAATTTTTTATGGCCTTTAAGTGTTATTAACTGTTATTTCGAGGAAAGGGATTTTACTGTAAAGAATGTTACATTTCCAAAGTGTTAAAACTACGAAAATTTATAATTTATCATGAACTACACTCTGTGATGGCACATATTCTGTCGATCGGTAGGTTTCTTTAGTTTATTTGGTTACTGATTGAATTGACTTGAGATCGTATGTGCCAATCAACTTATTAACTTCATAATTTTAACCTTATTTACGACTGACGAAAAAACTAACTGGTAATAGAAAATTCTTTTGTGTTACAGTGATTTAAATCTATCAATAATTTTAGCATAACTTATCAACTAATTATTACACAAAATACTAATTTATCGAAAAAAGATCCTGATAAATTATCAGGTTACTTCCAGGCAACCAAAAATATAAATTAGCAGTCAAAACAAGTGGAAAGTACACCACACCTGCCTTTTGAAGCTTGTCAGTGCTACAGGACTGTTGAACCCCTAGTATGTAAAATTACACTTGGTAATCAATCACTAGAGCCAACTAGGGTTCATGTTATCGAATGACTAATATTTGTATATTTCTAGAAGCAAGCAAAACTTTTTAAGTCAGGTCAATTAGTTTTTTTACTGTGTTCAAAGTGCTAGGACGTATTGCTAAGATGGCCCCGTAAACCTCCCATAGGATCATGGCTAAAAAAGGTAGCTATTTCGTTCCCTAAAAATCACTCTTCTTAATTAGCATCGTGAGTTACTCATGAGGATATTAAAATGACTACTTGCCGAAATTAAACGAATTACTTGAAGCCGTGATGCAAATAATGTCTAGACAACAAATGAACCGGTTTTAGAAAACGCCCTGAAGGTAAGAACGTTAAAAACAGATGCCAGTCAATCTATAGACGTTCAGAAGGTTGATAAAACTAGAAATCTCATTTATTATAAGTGATTTAGTGAAATCAACTCAGTTTGACCTCCCTCCATAGTTAAATTAAACAGAAGCAATTGGTAGATGTGTATAACTATAAATGAAATATGATGACCTCGTTGGCTTAATCCATGGAGTCATTTCAATCGGGGAAAATGAATATTAACATTTTGCTTCTCTTAATCAGAGAGTGCTTGCTACCTGAAAGTAGAGGACTAGACATTTCTTCTGTTATCTTGGCATCGTCAGTTAAATACAAACTAAGAAAGATATACAAGGCAAGTGTAAACAGACTGCATATTGCTGCAAGGTTAAATAAATCACACGTCACAAGAACAAATGGTAAGTAAAAAAATATAAATATAGAGAGTTCTTTGTGTATAGCGGATTTCTCTTTCTAGCATGTGACATTACTTACATCCCTGTCTGGAGTATTACCTGTAAATAGTTGATTTCTGAATATTGGAATGTTCTCTTATTTGAAGTTACAAATAAAGTGGGATTGAATGAAGTATAAGTCTTTCAAAACGAAACAATGGGAATTCTTCAATGACTGAAATAAGGATCAACTAATTGGTTTTTACCAAATTTTCACAAAGTCGATACTGTATTCAAAAGAATATTTTTTCATTTAAAATTAGAAGGCTGTGGTGTTGCATTGGTTATACTAAGTAACATTTATTTTGAGGGTCACACTGAATACTTCGAAAATTACTTTTGTTTACAAAATAATATCAGTATTACAGGAAAGTCTGAAGTTAATATTTTGTTACTAAAATGCACTTTAAGTCTTCAGTTTAACCTGCCTTTATGAGACGTCTAGTAAGCTTTTTTCATTAAGCTACTTGGAATTTCTCTTTTAAATATTTTTCCTATTACATACTTCATTTAAAGTAGTGTGAGGCAACTCTTGATACACTCTTAGGTTTTTCATAATATTAAAGTTATTTGTCACTTGCGTATACTCACACAAATGAAATTAATGTTTTGGCGTTATCTCCGGTTCTCCATAATCTCCATTTACCAAAACAGTATTTCTGACAAATATTCTATTGGATGCTTAACAACATTTAATCAATGCATACAAACACCAGTGTTTATCATGCTCTCATCAACTTCAAGCAGCTTAAGTCAATTTTATTTTTTTTCTTGCAATATTTCGCTTTTTAAAAATACTTGGAACTTAATTTTAGCTATCTTATCATATACAATAGTCGAAAAATATATAACAACTTAGTCAAGTTACACATAGTCTGTAAAATAGTCTGAAAGATTCATTCGGTTGAGACACATCGGAATTTGAACAGTTAAATTTCGCTAGATATATGGTAGAATCAATATTTCGAAATAGATAGGGTAGACAAAAGTGATATGACCTTGAAGTGTATGGTCTTTTATTGATTGGCTGGAAAGGAGGAAAATGAAAGCAGGTTAAACATCGATCTAATTTAACGGTTATCTGTTAAACAAAGGCTAAATACATTATGAAACAAAAGTTATCCATCTGAAATTGCTTACGCTAATATCACTATTCAGAACTTTACAACGGGAGCACACAGAGATAACTGTCGACTATTGATTACCAAATTATGAATAATCTATCAAGAATGCCAGGAAAGAATTTGAATAATGGTTGAATAATAACTTCTAAGATTGCTAAAATAATAAAAGATGTATGCGATCTTAGAAAGTACAGTATGGATGTGTCAATGTAAGGGACTCGCTTGATTTGATTTGTTGTGACAGACATTTACATAACCTACAAGTTGCTGAGATCCCCTTGTGGTTCCAAGTATTTCGATAACCCATTATCAGTATAAGTAAACTACTATTTTTACTGAAAGAAAAACGATTCATGTTTGCTAAGTTGTATAATAATTTAAATCCTGACATCTAATAATCATAATTTTCCTAGTGAAATCCGTTTCGCTTTAAAGACGGTGAGAACATCTAACCAATTAGATTCTGAAGTACTGTACGTGACGAAATGAGAAATTGTACTATTGATTGTAAATAAGATAAATAGAAATTTATTATGTAAAACTCATGTATCCTTATAGAACAGTTAGTTATTCGAGTCATAATTTTGTCTTGTATGGATCGAATCCAATCGCTCATTAACTGAATTATTCAAAACATCTAGTTAAAATGATATTAGAGTATTTTATTCCAATACTAAACTAATCACTTTCTATAAAATAATAACTCTTATCATTTAAGGTTCATACATCAGTCTTTCACATAATTACAGTTTGCTTGTGCTCAACTTAATTAAGCACATATTACGTGAATGACACATAATAATTATGAAATGCTACCACAGACTAACTAAATAAACAAGGTTGTATTCTACATTGTATAAGATCTGTCATTTTTTTTACTTCATTCATGTTACTATCGTCTGGATTAAAACTGCTCGACAAAAGCATCATCCAATCGATTATAGACAAATGATTTCAAAACAGTTGCATGAATATCAACGATATTTTGAGCAACACTGGTAGCAATAACTACTGAAAATTTGATGCGTTTTACAAATTAAGATCAAATCAGACAAACATAGTAAACATATTGGATCGTACTGCACACTTGAGAAGCCGATAAAAACAACTTTAGGGAAATCTTAACTACAGGGGCTATTGAGATAGATAGCTCACACTTAATGCTCAATAAGATATGCTCCAGAATATT